CATCCCTCCCCACCTTGAGCTTCTTAAATCTAAGGTATCAGAAAAAGGCTTTTTGAAAGTAACTTAAGGCCCGGGAGGAGGCATTAAGATACAGTGAAATGTTGGCAGGACTACTTACAGGTTAGATGTCTGGCAGTTCTTTAGATCTTCCCACTCCACTGAGGGCCAGACCATCATAGTGCCCCCACCCCCATCTTCCTGCCTTTCATCTCATGTGTGCATTTTTTTAAGTAAAATTCACATAACATAAAATTAACCATTTAAGGGAAACAATTCGGTGGCATTAAGTTCATTCACAAGGTTGTGCAATCATCATCTCCATCTAGTTCCAGAACATTTCATTACCCCAACAGGAAACCCCATGCTCATGAGGCAATCATTCCCTCTTCTCCAGCCCCTAGCAACTGCTAATCTGCCTTCTGTTGCTGTGATTTGTCTGTGCTGGACGTTTCATAGAAGGGGGATTATACAATAGGTGGTCTTTTGGGTTTGGCTCCATCCTCCACTTTTGAACCCAAGAACCACTATGACTGGCCATTCAGAATCCAGACCAAAGGCCGCTGCAGAAGAGGACGGGAATGTGCAGTAGAAGAGGCCATGAGAGCGAAGATGGAGGGATGAAGAGGAGAGGGGAGGTCCAGTAGGCAGCCAAGCAGGGCACAGGCAAGAGTTACGGGGCACCAAGCTCCTTCCTGTGCGGGACACCAATTGTTCCTTCTGCCTGAACAGCTATGTCCTGACAATTCCTGCCTCAAATGTCCCTTCCCAGAGAGTCCTTTAGACACCCACTCAACAGGGACCACTCCCTGGTCATTCTTCCCCCCGTTCCTGTGTTCATCTTATTTACTCATTGACTTATGACTTATTCATTTACGTTTCACCATCCCTCATGGAGTAAAAACTCTAAGGGAGCAGTAACTTTATTTTGGTTACACCGAGTTTCCCCAGCGGCTTCTGAAACACGCCTGACACTGAAGGCTTAGCAATGACCTGGGCCATGTGGCAGCAGGAGGTGCCACACGGATCTCCTTGAAGAAGGAACTTGGTGGTCAGCTGCAGGAAGCACAGGGGTGAAAAGCCTCCACCTGTTAGCACCTTGGGGTCTGTTAGCACCTCAGGGTCTGTTAGTACCCGGGGTCTGTTAGCAGCTCAGAGTTTGTTAGTACTGGGCACCTTGGGACAGTCAGCAGCTCAGAGTTTGTTAGTTCCTGGGGTCTGTTAGCAGCTGGGAGTCTGTTATCCCTTCAGGGTCTGTTAGCACTTCCAACCAATGACGGGAGCACAGGGCCTGGCCATCTGCTGGGCTGTCTGCTCAGAAGCTCCCCACTGGGCTGGCCTGGACTTCATCAAGTCTGTGCACTGTCTGAGGGTCTCTTCCTGCTCCCTTCCTTTCCTTCTTCCTCTGTTAATGCCCTTTCCTCCCAAGCCTCTTGTATTCCTTGAGCCTACAACCTCAAGGACCCAATTGGCACCACCTTGATTGCCCATGAGCCCCTGGGATCCATAGCTTGGGTCATGTCCCTCGAACCTGAGTTAAGAACCACCACCTGTGTGCTTGGTGGGTTCTGCCCAAGAGCCAATGCCTGGCTGAGGGGTGCTCCCTGGCTCCCACTCTGATTCCCAGTTGGCACCTGTATCCCTCCCCAAGTCAGAGATGGGACCTGCCAACAAGCCGACCAGCAAGACTGTCAAATTGCTTCCTTTCAAGGTAAGGGATGTGGACCCAGGGTACAGGTTCCAAATGGAGACACAGCGAGGCCAGGGAGCCCAGCTGCTGACCCAGCACTGTCCTTGACATCCCCCACAACCTTGGACTCTACATGTCCAGACCCAAACTCACTACCTGACCCCAACATCCGCTTCTGCTGGGCTCTTCTCTGAGCTTTCCCACCTCTGCATAAGCCAGGAAACTTCCCAACAGGAGGGAACACGGAGCCCTGGCAAATAGGAAAGGTTCTCCAGGGGTTCCAGGCTGAGCACACAGTGTGGGCAGAGGCCAAAGGCAAGAATAGCTTGGCTCATTGAGAGAGAGCGAGAGAACAGTTCCATGAGATTGGACGGAGAAGGCAAGGGGGCCAAGGGACCCTGAAGATCAGCCAAGGAGTCTGGACTCTGAGGACAATGCCCTCCTAGATGCCCATATCCTAATCCCCCGAATCTATGAATACACCACCTTATGTGGCAAAGAGGACTTTACAGATGTGACTCAATTAAGAAATTTTGAGACAGGGAGATAGTCCTAGATTACAGAGTCCTTATGAGGGAGGCTGGAGGGTCAGAGTCAGAGAAGGAGATGTGAGAATGGAAGCTAAAGTCAGAGTGATGTCCTCTGAAGATGAAAGAAGGGACCACAAGCCAAGGAATGAGGAGGCCTCTAGAAGGTAGAACCAGCAAGGAAACAGATTCTTCCCCAGAGCCTCAGAAGGAACCAGCCCTGCTGACAACTCGATTTTAGCCCAGAAGATTCGTTCCAGATTTCTGACCTCAAGAACTAAGACAAAATGTTGTTTTAAGCCACTCAGTTTATGATAATTCATTAAAGTAGTCCCTCTGAACTGGGGAGGGGCCTGGCCAGGGGTGTGTGTTAGGCAGTTCACCCAGAGATGGTGGGGAAGGTGAAGGCTGGAGACAAGTCTCCTACTTCCTCAGTTCTACCTTCTGCCTCTGTGCCCCTGCCATCGCTTCTTACCGGACTCCTGCCCATGCTTAGCCTTCCATGGAGATTCTCTGAAAGTCCAGCCTACTGACTACCAGCCTCAGCATGCCCACTGCCCTCCTGCTGGGAGCATCACTCACTGGAGATCAGGTGTTCCTCTGTCCTGAGATCCCGACCACAGTACAGGCATCTGCAGGCCACAGGCTGGCTGGATACCCCTCGTGGGGCTGACAAAGGCTGAGTGCACAGCAGGATACAGTGGAAATTGTTGGGATGAACAGATGAATGCATCTGTGACCAGGCTGGACCAGGGAGGGACTCACACCAACTAGTTGAGGTTTAATAATAATTGTTTTGGATTAAATGTTCTTTTGAGTAAATAAATGAGTGCTAAGAGCACACTGATCAAAAGATCTGGTCACAGGTACGCTTCTAATTGATTTTTGTTGTTGTTGTTGTTGTTAATCCTTACCCAAGGATATATATTTTTTTAAATATATTATTGTTTTCAGAGGAAGGGAGAGGGAGAGAGAGAGAGAGAAACATCAATGATGATAGAGAATCATTGATTGGCTGCCTCCTGCACACCCCCTACTGGGGATCAAGCCCACAACCCGGGCATGCGCCCTTGAACGCAATCGAACCTGGGACCTTTCAGTCCAAAGGCCAATGCTCTATCTATCCATTGAGCCAAACCAGCTAGGGCCCAAGGATATTTTTTCCATTGAATTTTAGAGAGAGTAGAAGGATGGTAAGGAGAGGGAGAGAGAGAAACATCTGAATGAGCCCTGACTGGGGCCAGGGATCGAACCTGCAACCCAGGTATGTGCCTTGACTGGGAATTGAACCTGTGACCCTTAGGTGCACAGACCGATGCTCTAACTACCTGGGCACACCTCCAGGGCGATCCTAATTGTTTTTTAATGCTAGACTTTGTTGCCTTTAAGCCGGATAAAGCAGTTGAGGTATCATGATCCCATCTGCTTTGCTGCTTATGGGTCTTGAGAATGAATGAGCCATACCCTTTCATCTGGAGGGAGAGGAGTGTTGTCTGGTGAGTGAGTGGGGTTGAGGGCCAGGTATGTAAGGTTATCCTGGTCCCTCCACCAAGGCTGCCTTTACCTGCAATGCCTCCCCAGTTGGATATTAGCCACCATTGTTATTATCCTGCCTGTTGATCCCTGAAGCCCAGCCTGAGTCCCCTCCCAACAGCATCCTCTGCCAGGCACCTGGAAAGGAGCTGTTAACCCTGCAGGCCACATCCTTGCTCCATGAGGGACATCATAGGGTTTAAGATGGTAGCCTGCCCTCCTGGACCAGAGGGAGGGCCTTTAATAGGTTGAGTGGTGGCCCTCAAAAGACCTGTGAATGTAACCTTATTTGGAGAAAAAGTCTTTGCAGATCTAATTGAGTGAAAGATCTTGAGATGAGAGCATCCTAGGTTAAGCTGGGCTTTAAATCCAATAACACATGTCCTTAAAAGAAACAGAAGAGGAGAATAACAGAGAGAAGGCCATGCAAAGATGGAGGCAGGGACTGGGGAGATGCGGTCACAAGCCCAGTAAGAGAAGGCACTCCTTTGGTATTGCTGGCATAGTGCTGGAGCTAAATGGTGGAGTCCCTGGGAGAAGCCAGTTGGAGCCAGGGCCTCAATACTGCAGCAACCAGAGCATTGATTCCACAAGTGTGACAGACTCTCCCCCAGCCCAATCCTAGCCCATCCTTGACATTAGAACACAGGCCTCCACAGTCTGTCCACATCCTCTTCATCACACCCCAATCTCTGCACCTCAGGTGGACTCACCTTTCTGAGCGCCTGACTATGCCTGGCTTCCCCAGGGCCTTTGCACCTGCTATTTTTTCCACCTGGATTGCTCTCCTCCCACTTGACCCCTTCATCCAGTAAAACCCTAGTCCCTCTGCAGAGGCCTCAGGGCAGCATCCAGTCCCTCTCCCTGGACCAGTGTGCCTTGTTACAATTCTCCCATCACCAGCCCAGCATCCCATCTTTGGGTGGGCCATCAGCATCCTTCCCCAAACCTGCACACTTTGTCACAACTGTCCTAGAACCAGGGCCATCCCTTCAGGCCAGCTGTTCTTCCTCACCTTCGGTTATCTGCTTATGGTCTGCTTCTCCTACTCATGTGGAGACTCCAGGGCACAACCATCTATTTTGTTCCCCTGTGTCTCCCTGGCGCCTGGCTGAGTGCCTGGCATACAGTTAGGACCCCATTTTTGCAAGTGGCTGTGTGAAGACGCCCCAGTCAGGAATTGTGCCAGCCCTGGACCCTGCCTGCATTTGCTCATGCTGACCAGCAAAGCCAGGACACCAGGCAGGGGTGCCCAGGAAGGCCTGACGCCCCTCACCAGCCAGCTCCTTCTCCACGCTGGTCAGTGGCTGTGTGCCTTCCTGGTTCTCCATTCGGCCCTTGTACAGGATCCCATCCACTCCCAGGATGTCCACCTCGGCCTGTTGGAGGGCCCGGGCCCCAGGTAAGGGAGTGTCTTTGAGCCTCTAGTATACAGAGGCCCAGCAGACAGAGCACGGCTCCCCAGGGGTCACCCACCACCCGGGCTGCGACCTGACTCACGGTATCATAGTCCAAAGTATCAGGGTCCCCATAGGGATAGAGTGTTGTCAAGTTATATGACTTGAGCTTGAGGTTCGCATCATTCCCAGGGCCGCCGTGCCAGTCCTGGTCTCCAAGGTTCTGGAGCTGCTGCTCCCTGGGGCAGAGCAGGAGGGTCAGCAGCCACCTAGAGACCCCTCCGCCCCCAAGGAGCCTAAGGACAGGCCCTGAAGGCCTGGCCAGTAGCAAGAGAAGACTGGAATTTCTTCCAGCTGATTCTGGGTGGTGCAGCCAGGCAGGCCTGGGGCCTGGTGGGTAAATAAAGACAGGCAAGTGGGAAGTAGGCATATTCATCCTAGTTCATAGGGGATTATGATATTCAAATGAGAAACCCTTTCCCAACTCATAATAGATGCCCAATAAACATGTCCATTCCTTTCCTCTGTGATCATCTCACGTGCCTGTCTGTTGCCCTAGCCACTGTCCTGAGTGTTTCCCTTGCAGATAGCTGGCAATGCTTTGGGATAGTCTTTGGATCTTGGGACTACAGTTTAGGTTTCTGCAGGGATCCTGGGTCCTGAGTGACCTCCATGGGGCAGACCCCCAGTCTGCTCACCTCATCTGTTGCCGCTGCAGGTACTCATAGCTGTTGGCACTAGATGGCCGAATCCTGGACAGCAGGTGGGCTTTGCGGATGGTGATGAGATGTCTGTTGGAGAACAAGAGCTCGGTGGAAGGCATATGTGGCCAGCAGAGGGCACTGGGTTCCTACCTCCTCCCAGAAGCCACCCTCAAACTTGGCCTGAAATGAGGCTGCCCTACAAGGGCTCTGGGGAACCCTGAAAATCTTTCTAAGTCATAAAAAAACAATTGTTCCAATTATAAAAGGAAAAACCAAACACAGACTGGAGGTGGCCAGAGCCTGGGGGGAAGGAGAATGGGAGTGACAAGTGAATGGGTAAGGGGTTTCCTTCTGGGGTGATGGAAATATTCTGGAACTAAAGGTGGTGGCTGCACAACAGTGTCAATATTCAAACTGCCACTGGACTGTTCTCTCTAAAATGGTTCATTTATGTTATGTGTATTCAACCTCAATAAAAGTAAAAATAAAGTAAAACAGCCCTGGCCAGTGTTCCCAGTGGTTAGAGTGTTGGCCTGAGCACCACAGCTTCTCGGTGTGGTTCTGGGTCAAGGGCACGTACCTGGGTTGCATGTTCAATACCCAACCCTGGTCAGGGTGTGTGTGGGAGGCAACCAATAGCTGTATCTCTCTCACATCAATGTTTTTCTTTTTCTCCCCCCTCCTCTCATCCCCCTCCTTCCCTTCCACTTGCTCTAAAAATTAATGAAAAAAATATCCTCCCATGAGGATTAACAAAAAAAAAAATAATTTAAAAAATAGTCCTAGCCAGTTTGGTTCAGTCGATAGAGTGTTGGCCCACAGATTAAAGAATCCTAGGTTCAGCCAAAACCGGTTTGGCTCAGTGGATAGAGCATCGGCCTGCGGACTGAAAGGTCCCAGGTTCGATTCCGGTCAAGGGCATGTACCTGGGTTGCGGGCACCTCCCCAGTGGGGGGTGTGCAGGAGGCAGCTGATCGATGTTTCTAACTCTCTATCTCTCTCCCTTCCTCTCTGTAAAAAATCAATTAAAAAAAAAAAAAAAAAAATCCTAGGTTCAATTCCAGTCAAGGGCATGTACCTGGGTTGCAGGCTTGATCCATGGCCCATGTTGGGGCATGTGTGGGAGGCAACCAATCGATGCGTCTCTCTCCCATGGATGTTTCTCTCTCTCCATCTCCTCCTCCTCCTCCTCCCTTCCACTCTCTCTAAAAATCAATGAAAAAATATCCTCGGGTGAGGATTAACAAAAAATAAATAAAAAGAATACTGTAATTAGATACCTGTTGTTTGAAAGAAAAATTCTGGATAAAGCTCCACAGCCCCCTCCATGAACTTGGACTGGGTGTTGATGAGCTTCAAGGGTCACCAGGACCTGACTAACACGGGGAGATCTTGTAGTGCCAATGGGCACTACAAGATCCTGGCTCTTAAACCATGTTAGAGTATTGTTTGGTGGCTCCTCAAAAAGTTAACCATAGAGTTACCATATAACCCAGCACTTCCACTCCCAGGTTTATATCCAAAAGAATTGGAAACAGGTGTTCAAACAAATATATGTTTTCATAAAGGCTAAAAGGTGGAAACAACCCATATGTCCATCAATGTATAAATGGATCAACAATATGTGTTCTATCCATACAATGGGTTATTATTCAGTCACAAAAAGGAATGAAGTGCTGGCACATGCTACAATGTGGATGAACCTCAAAAACAATGCTCAGTGGAAGAAGCCAAACACAAGAGACAACATGTTGTATGATTCCATTTCTATGAAGTGTCCAGAACAGGCAAACCCACAGACAGAAGTAGATTCAAGGTTGTCAGGGGCTATGGGGAGGGGGCAATAGGAGTGACTGCTTAATAGGTCTGGGGTTTCCTTTTGGGATGATAAAAATATTTTGGGATTAAAAGTGGTGGTTGCATATTATGGTAAATGAACCAAATGCCACTGAATCACTCACTTTAAAATGGTTAACTTTATGTTATGTGAATTTCACCTCAATAAATAACTAGACCATAAAAATCCATGCAAAAAAGTCCCACAAAGTTTTGCTTTTCCCTATAGTTTCCTTCCATTATTTTTCTTTTGGAGTTGACCCAGTCCCTGGATCAGTGGGCACCAGACAGGGCTGATGAAGAAAGGAAGGGATGATGGTGGCCTGCCCAGGGACAGGGAGCAAATGAAATGATGTCTACAAAACATGTATGTGGATGTGCATATAAAGGATGTTTCTAGAACACCGCAGGCACATAGAGTGAGTATGTGTGTCTTTCTGTTTGTCCAGAAGAGAGAGGGCGGGCACAGATGCCCCCTGGTGACTATACTCACGGGCCAGTCATCATCTCCACCGGCCGGTCACAGGAAATGCATTTCACCCGCTCAAACAGTTTCCTGGAAGACATCCATTCATCAGCTGTGGCACCCCAGTCAGGCCTGCGTGCTGCCCCTTTCCCAGGCAGTGTTTGGGGAGGCTGCAGGTCTGTCTATGCCTCAGGGCCAGGACTAACCCTCATATCCTACACCCACTGGCTTGGCCCTGCTCAGTTTGGCTTTGCTGGCCCCTGCTGACCCCCATTTGTGGCCTCCTGGGGCAGAAGGGGGGGAATAAAAGTGTGTGTAGTGCATCTTCCTGCCCTAAACATAATGGAGGTCTTTAAAACCAGAGACCTTCTGGAAAGCTAACCATCACAGTAGACATTTGGGGCATGAGGGGTGATCTGAGGACAGGAACCCTCATTGTCTGGGTGTCTGTCTCGATGGAGGTAGGGGACCTGGCTCTGTTCCCAGATCCACCCAGGCTTTACTTACATGTCTCCTTCCCTCTCTGAACTCCTCATTTGTGGCAAAAGAGCTTTGGAGCAGATGTGCTCCTGAGTCCCTCTGCCAGCCAAGGCCAGAGCTGCCACCTCTGAGCGCCTGGGTGCTCTCAGGCCTCATCCCAACCCCTTTCCACACCCAGCTGGGAAGTACCGCCCCCTCTCCCCAAGTCCACAGGTCTGAAATTCTTGCTTCTAGAATCCCCTGGGATCCCCCTCTCGTTCCCTCCCCAGACAGAGGGTCCCCCAGCCTTCACAAGCTCCACCCCTCCCCAGGAGGGGCTCACTTCCTAAAGCCGGCGGCACTGTCAGGGTCGAATCGGAGGCCTTCAATTAGCAGCTTGTTGACTATATGCCAGACCTCATTTATGTCTTTCTTTAGACTGTCCAAATCCTTGTTGTTCAGCTGGAACAACCAAAGGGGGGCGGGGGGGGGGAGAGTGTTTAGTCAATTAATTCACATGCTGCTTCACTCCAGAAAAGGATTTGCAGTAACCTGCAAAGTGACATCGAGCCTAACAAGATTAAACAGAAAAAAGTGAGGTGGTTAAGGAGAGGGACCTGACAAAGCTTGGGTTAAGGTTCATACCCCTAATGCACGCTAATGCTAGAGGGGAGCTGCCAAGTGAACTTCCCAGCAGCCACGGCAAAGAAACACCATCAGTTCCTGCCTCCAAATGATAAAACCAACCCTATGCTTAACTACAGGCCTGCAGGCCCGAGAAACATTCCTCCCAATGGTCCCCAAACAACTAATATTCATACATTCAACACATTTACTGAGTGCAAAGTACTTGTATACATTCAATGGCTTTGAATATATTCACAGAGTTGTGCAATCATCACCACAACAATTTTAGAACATTTTCATCACTCCCAAAGAAACCTCATACCCATTAGCAGTCACCCCTCACTTCCCCCCAGATCTCTAGGGGTAGGTAACCACTAACCTACTTTCTGTCTCTATAGATTCGCCTATTTTGAACATTTCACTTAAATGGAATCACACAACCTGTGGCCTTTTTGTCTGACTTCTTTCCCTGAGCATACTGTTTTCAAGGCTTATTCAGGTTGTAGCATTCCCTTTTATGGCTGAATAACATTTAATTTTATGGCTAAACTATATATTGTTTATCCATTCACCCACTGATGGACTTTTGTGTTTTCACTTTTTAGCAACTATAATGCTGCTATGAACATTCTTGTACAAGTTTGTACATAGACATAAGTTTTCATTTCTTTTGGGTAGATACCTAGGAGTGGAAATGCTGACTGGTATGGTAATTCTATGTCTAAAAACTGCCAGACTGTTTTCCACAGTGGGACTTCTGAATTTTTACAGTGTTCCTTCCAGTACCCAGATTCTGGTCTCTAAACACCAATGCCCACTAAAAGGAACCAGGACTCCATAGGAGATATAGCTGACTCAGGTCACATGAAGGGAATGTTGACAATAAGCCTGTGACCTCTTGTCATTTAAGAAAACAAGACAGTTATCTGATGACAGAAGGTTAAGTCAAAGGACTCAGGAGCTAGCCCACAGGCCAAAGATGAGACCATGCGAGTGACAAAATAAATAGTAACTTAATTGACTGAGTGAATTAAATAATAAAAATTCATGATTCACAGTTACACTCACAAAGAAGAAATAAAAAAAGAAAAATAGAAACTCTCAATTGCCACCATGTTTTGGGATGTGGGCATTTCCATCGATATATTGTCCTGAAAACTGATCACTAAAGGAAACAATTCATCATTTTTCTGTCTTTCCTGAAAGAACCATATTTCAGGGTAATCAGCTCAAGTTGATGAAGGAAAGCTATTCACAGATTTCTAGCTGATAAATGTAGAAGCTACATCTGTCTTGCTCCCTTGGGTCACTCATTCTAGGGGAAGTCAACTGCAATGGTGTGAGGCCACTTGAGCAGCCCTAAGAAGGAGTTCATGTGGTGAGGAAGTGTGGAGTCTTGCCCACAGCCATGTGAGGGGGCCATCTTGGAAGCGGCTCCTCTGGCCCCAGTCAAACCTTCAGATGACAGCATCTTTATGGGAGACCCTGAGCCATCCAGCTAAGCAGCTCCCAAATTCTTGACCTTCAGAAACTAAATGTTTGTTGGTTTAAACTGCTAAAGTACAGGGTAATTTGTTACATAACAAGTGATAACTGATACAGGGAAACCCACCTTGCTGCCCATGTCCTTGCTGAGCTGCTCCAAAGTCTTCTTCCAGTCATCCTCTTGGGACACGACCCTCAATAGTATGCCCTGAATCATGTCGTTCAGCTCCGTTGCCACCCTGTCCAGATCAACCCGGCTTGCCTTGGCTGCCAGGATGCTCTTGTCAGCTTTCTAGAGAGAGAAGGGACTCAGAGAGGCAGAGCTGCTGGGGTGGGAGCAAGGAGAAGCTGGGGGAGATCAGATCATTTTGGTCAATTTTTTTCAAGTTTGGGACCCTGGACATGTAGCCTTGGCTTAAATTCAATCCTGGGGTCTATGTTGGCTCAAAGACAATCATCAGATCTAAGCTAAGGTTTTCCTATGACAGAGTTGGTGAGTGATTTTTAAGTTCATATAACAAATTGTCACTAACCTGAAGCACTGAAAATAGGAGTTGATGGGACAACTTCTGAGAAGTGTCCCCAGCCTTTCCATGTGAATCAAGGTGGAGGGAGACTCTGAAGTCACCCTGCCAGGTTTTGTCTTGGCTCGATGATTCCATTTCCCTGGGTGGGAGAGCTGGGGCTCAGGATGAGGGAGCAGGAGGGGGAGAGGAATCTGCTCACTCACCTCTTTTAACTCCTGCTCCATCGCACTTTTGTCTGCCTTGATCGTGTCTAGGTTTGTTATTTGAGATTGGAGAACCTAAGAAAAGAAGCAAAGGGCATGTCAGTCATCCCTGGAATCCCTGAGGATAATATCCACCTCTCACCTCTACCCTTGCTGTGGTGCTAAGAAGGGACCATGAGACCAGGTGGACAGCAGGTAGGGTGGGCACACGGGAAGGCTTGGGCTCCTGGGTGCCTGGTGCCCAGATTAGAAGGGAAGAAATGTGAGACTTGGGAAAAGTTGTCCTCTTGGAGGCAGACATGGCAACTTTGCTGCACAGGGAGGCAGACCTAAGGCAGGAAAACATAAACCAATGCTTTGGCTCCTTAGATGTTTAGGACAAGTTCCTCTCTTCTGATCTGTAATGAGGTCCCAGTAAGAACTGCCGTCTATTCATCAGCCAAGCACTTACATATCACATACTGTATCCCATTGTCAAAGGAAAACTCCTTCTTTCCCTTTCCCATGACTCTACTCTCTCCATTACTTCTGCCCTCTCTCCACTTACTGAACTCTCCTATGAGGCAGCAGCGCTGACCTGGTTGGGAAGAGCCTCACACCCACTGGGCCATGTCCCCAGAGGCTGAGGTCACTTTTCCTCCAAAGCAGAAAATAGGCTTCTACTTCTTCCTTCCTATCTTGTCTTCCTCTCATCCTTAGCAACAGAACCTCCAACTTTTAGCTGGCATCTGACCTCCCAGAATCATGACTACATTTCATAGCCTCCCTTACAGCTTGGTGTGACCACTGGGGTAAAAATAGAAGTGGATAGATGTCTTATTCACTGCTGGCTTGAATGCAGAATTAATTTCTAGAGACCAGCAGCCACCTTGGAGCTTGAGGTGACCTTGTGAATGGAAGTCACACACCATGGAATTCTAGACCAGCTCTAGACCAATCATTTCTGACTTCCTTGTTTTTCTGTCACCTTGTTTCAGTCAGTTATCTGGGAGTTCATGTTATTCGCAGTTGAACCGAGTTCTAATTAATGCAAAGCTCCATCACATCCACTTGCAAAGGGAAGTAATGTTTTCCAGAGAGTCAAAAAAAAAAAAAAAAGTTCTGTTCTCACTTATTTTCCTGCTGTATCTTGATTGGGTGGTAGTGATATGGGTGTGTAATAGGCAAAAATTAATTCACCTCTTATACTTAAAACTTGGGTATTTTACTGTGCATAAATTATACTTTGATTAAAATCACCAATATCACTGTTTATTACCAAATACAGAAGAGCCTAGATCAGCCGTGGGCAAAATTGGCCCGTTTGAAATGAATAAAACTAAAAAAAAAAAAAGACCGTACCCTTTTAAGTAATGATGTTTACTTTGAATTTATATTAGTTCACACAAACACTCCATCCATGCTTTTGTTCTGGCCCTCCGGTCCAGTTTAAGAACCCATTGTGGCCCTCGAGTCAAAAAGTTTGCCCACCCCTGGCCTAGATGGTGTCTGTCTTGTTGACTGCTGCATCACCAGGCCTTGGAAGGGTGCCTGGTGCAGAGTGAAGGCTCAGTAAGATTGGCTGAATGACTCAATGAATAAAGAACATCACCTGTCATGTTCATAACACTTTCTCGCAGACATCCAGGTAAAGCAGTAACACCTATCCCAGATGTGTCTGTATGCCCTAATTTCTCTACTGGAAGGACTCAACAGGGGCTGCTGATCTCTTGCACATGTTCATTTAAGACATATTTAATATGTGTTGTATACCAAGCCCTGCTCTTCCAGGTCCTTCAAGGGTTAACTTTTATAAGCAATTAATTTTTTCTCGTTGGCACACAGGACAAGAAGGTAGTCAAGACAAAGACTGCCTTGCTCCATCTGGTGCTGTTTGGTTGGGCCTCATCCTCTGGAGTTTCTCTCAATGAGCAATGACTACTTGGAGACAGATACTATGACCCTTCCTCCCCTCGTGCAGGGCAGGGCATAGTGCTGGGTACACATCAGACATGTTGAATGAACTGGCTCATCTCCATTGAGGAAGGGCATCAATATATCCTTAGGACATGGCAATCTGGCCTCTTTGAAGCAGTGACAAAAAGAGGGCCCAGCATTGTCAGGAGCTGATGTTACTGATCTGGGTACTCACAAGGTCTGATCCTATTACCCTAGTCTCCTCTGTCCACACACAGTCCAGAACCTATCCCTCCCACCTGCACTTAAGCGGGGAACTGGCTCCCCGTGTATGATTTCTTTTTCTGAGTTGCCCTGTGTGGGTCCTCTCCCTTTTGCCCCCTGCATCCTAACGCATCCCACCAATAGCCCCCTGACTGGTAATCAGAAGCTCCCATGGAAACCACCCCAAGTTGGTTGTGTTTGGAATTTTTTCTCTTTCTACTTTGGGAATGACTTCTCCAAATGTCTGGGACAAGTCACAGACTGGACTGGTCCTGAGGTCCAGCTCAGCAGTCAGAACCCATCAGGCTCATGGAGAATGTGTCTGGTGGAGTGAGCCCCTGGTAAGGGTTCTGTATCATTTCCATACTTTCCATGTCAGCAACTCCGCTGTTCCAGAAAGGCCTCTTGGCACTGTTCGGTCAGAAAGAAGGTTGTTTAGGGGGAAAGTTATGAATGTAACAGTTGGTGCAAGAAATCCTCTGATTCATTTGATTCTTTCAGCACGTTTTGAGCCTTCACTCTATGCCAGGCATCCTTCTAGAGGTGGGTGACCCAGTGGTTAACAAGAGGGACACTGTTGCCCTAGCTGGTTTGGCTGAGTGGATAGAGTGTCAGCCTGTGGACTGAAGGGTCCCGGGTTTGATTCCAGTTAAGGCACATGCCAGGGTTGCAGGCTCGGTCCTCAGTAGGGGGTGTGCAGGAGGCAGCCGATCAATGATTCTATCTCATCATTGATGTTTCTATCTCTCTCTCCCTCTCCCTTCCTCTCTGAAATCAATTAAAAAAAAAGAGAGGGACACTGTCTAGGCCAGTGGTCAGCAAACTCATTAGTCAACAGAGCCAAATATCAACAGTACTTCTTCAAAATAGATCGCCCAGGCCAAAAACCGACTTCTGTGCATGGGCCATGAAGTTTCAATCACACTGTACGTGTGCACCCGC